CTGCTAATTCGTTATTTTAGTCTAGACTCTTTCGTTTTGTTTTTGTTCGGCTATTTTATTATGAATAATTCTTATTTGAAAAAATTGGTTTAGATGAGTTTGAACGTTTGAATCTTTATGTATTATAAGTGTTGTGTCACTTGCAGGTTAAATTATAATTATATGTATTATTTATTTTCGTTGCGTATTTAAAATTCGAATTTTGTGTATATTTTGGATTTTTAAAATATAAAATTCTAACAATTACTCACACACAGAAGTGTCGGTGCTGATGAACCTGTCTATATATCATCTATGAATATCAATCACCAATGAGTAAAAAATTCAAGGTTAATTAGAGTAAATATTCTATAAATTCTACATAATACCGACTATTTATTTTATTATATTTGTTTTTATAAACCTCAAAATAGGGTTGTAGAGTCGGTAGATTCCATGGACTGGCAGACATATATCATCTTAACAACCGTCGGCTCTAATATATATAAAACCGCAATTTTCTAAGGTTCAATTTTATTTTATTTAATTTTCCTTTATTTATATACTTTAAAATAAAGTTATTATAGATTTCCAATGAGCCGCCGTAGATTGAAAAAAACGATAACGAGAAAAAGTTCATATTTACAGTTTAAACAGCGAAAAAGTATCTTTTGGACTTTGGCTACGGTTATTGCGGTGCTTACCCCTTCAAAAGGCATATTAATCTATGGGTGTTGTGTATGTGGTGAAATTACCACTAATCTTATCACTACAATAATTTATTTATGATGTGCATAGAAGTGTGTGCCAATGTGCCTATAAAAGGGGCCACACACTTTGTAAAAGTTGTACTTGAAAAACGTAAGAAAAAGAGAAAGAAGAATAGCAGCTTATAATTTTGTTCCGGTTTTTATACATTGTGTTCTTTATATTGCGCGTATTTCATAACACGTTATCAGCACGAACGCTCTACCCGGTCAAGAAAGGTAGGATATATATACATATTACTATTATTCTTGACAAGTTAGGCTCTGCCACAGTGAAGGATATATATACATATTGTTATTATTTTTGACAAGTTAGGCTCTGCCACAGTCAAAAATATATATATATTACTAT